AATAAATATTGGTAGGGGTACCAATAAAATGTCGGACTATTGTATAGATTAATTGATTGATTCCATCAGGGTAATAGTTTCATCAAAAATAGGTAGACCATTTTCATCAGTTTGATTAGCATATATGATTGAGTCACGTTGTTCTTCAGTAAAGTATTTTTCCCACCAGGATTTGAGCATGCTAGTGAAACCAGAGGTAATTAGGGAAACAATTTCAGGTTGAGAATATTGGGGATAATTACTGAGATAACTATTTGCTACCATAGATAAATGATTTAATTTTTGAAGGATCTGATCTTCACTGAGACCATCAATATTCCATTCGTATAATTTTTTAGCAGAAACAGAAAATTGATTATTAAGATTAGTTTCTTCAAATTGGAGATCAGGTGGAGTAGGTCGAGAATACCAATTTTTGGTAGTTTGAGGATTAACTTTGGGATAATGAATTTTATTAAGATTAGAAGATTGAAATTGTTGGGCTAATTGATTTATTTCATTATCAGTAGTATCAGTGTCAGATTGATTAGAAACAATATCGGTAAGAGATTGTTGATTTAAAACAGTAAGACCTTTATCTTTGGATGTAGAAGTATCATTAGGAGTTAACTTAGTAAATAAGTGTTCAATGGCTTTGGCAGCAGATTGATCATTAGTAATCAGGCTAGTTTGTTTAGAACGATGACTAGGAAGATTAAGTAAAGGTTGATCTAAGGATTTAGTAGATTTGGTGGAGTTTTCTTCTAAATTAGTTTCTAATTTATCTAATTGTTTACCAATGGTTTTTAGACATTGATTAGTATAATTATTTTGTTCAATAATTTTTTTAATTTCAAGGTCAGTGCCAGGTAATTTAAAAGGAGAGGCTGGAACTTCAGAACCTTGATGATCAATAATTATATTTTCTAATGGAGGATGATTAGAACTAACAGAAGTATTAGAAGAAGTTTTCCATTTATGTTTTGTGATTGTTTTGATTTTTTTGTAATATTGATCCATATAGTCAAAGAAAGGTAATTCAAAACCATATTGAACCATAAAATCATACCATTTCCTAGTTATTTTGGATTGTTGAGTAGAATCATATTTAGCACGATAAACATGTCTTTTAGTTCTATTTTCTTTGGATCCAAAGTCAATAAGTAATTTATCTAAATCAGGAATAAAATCTCTTTTGATTGTCATTAGCTGAGGATTTACTAGAGGTATAAATTCTTCGAAATCAGTTTGAGTTGGAGAAGTATTTGAAGCAATGTCTTCTTCTGGTAAATGTGTGGGAGTAGTATAAACAGGTTTACTGATCTGGAAAGTGGTAGAATTATCAATTCTTTTTAGTTTATTTTGGGAAGTTTGGTTAGTGTGACCAAGATGTATTTGACTATTTTTTCGAAATAAAGGGGTGTTAAATATTTCATCTTCAGTTGTAATTTCAGTAGGGACACTAGATGTACTATGCCTAGAGGATTGACTGCGATTAAATTTAATTCGGACAGAACCATCATTGTATTGTTGAATATCTTGAATATCTTGAATTGAAGATTGTTGTTGATTGTGTTTGTAATTTTCATTAACAGTAACCCATTGATCAGGTAAATCTATATTCTTCCATTCAATCATTTGGGGAATATTAATGTTGGATTCACCACTACTACTGCTTTGTATTAATAAAGTTTTATCTTTGGGACTTTTGTGTAAGGCATGAACATTTAAATTGGTTTGCATACATTTATAATGAACACGATAAATTAAAGCAATATTATGAACTTTTTCTAACATTTCAGTAAATGAACCATGTAATTGAATGTTTAATGTTAATGCTTTGAGAATATGTGGATCACGTAAACTAAGTGTAAAATCAAGAAAACAATTAAAATGTACCGGACCTTTATGAAGGTCAGTTTCCATCATACCCATTAAACTATCTTGAAACCCCAAAGTCTGATTCTGCCTAAACCGAAGGACTTACACTAGATGGGGAAGAAGTGGGTGAATTAAACCAGGTGGATAGAACAGACTGATCTTTTGGGTGATTAAGATAAACTGAAAACAAGATTAATCAAATAAACAATAGAGAAGATTGAATAGAAGAAGCAAAACAGTTAGAAACAGGAGACAACATCACTTGGCTTTGATACCAAAAGGCGGAAGCAGCACATAGCGAATGAAAGAGATGGATTACGAAACCAAAAGATATAAAATTCCCTGCCTGATTTTCTTACCCGGGAATTTTTACAGGGGGGTAAGGGATGAGAGCTACTCCACAAATTGCCTATATTAAGACCCAAATTACCCATTACCAAACCCTGATACACCACGTTACTTTCCGAATCCAACGTCTCCAATTAGCCAGAAAAACTACTAAACGAGCCCAATATATCAATTACCACCAGATTCAAGCTCGTCGTAGTTTACTTGCTAATTACATTAATCATTTGCACTATTACCAGAATTATTTAGACATTCTTTCTGGTTGCTAACCATTATTTCTTGTTTAAACAGATGTCTCGCCCAAGGCCTCCTTCCAAGGCTTTGGTCCCATCTTTCAGTAAACCTAATCAACTTATTGTCCCTCCTCCTTTGGAGTCAGTCATCCAATCTCATTCACTTGAAACAGTTAACCGTTACCAAACTCTTGGTAATATCTATCGTCCTGATTACTCATCTGCATTGGCTGCCGATCCCTTTGCATCCAGCCATTCCGTCTCAGTTACTCCATTCCCAGTTAATCCCATTAAACCATCCCGATCTGAATACACCAATTCACATGTTACTAACTTGTTCTACAAAGAACCCAGTCACCCAAAAAACCAAACCATCAATGAAATTGCTAAATTCCATTTTGGCTCTGAATGTCATTTCATCCTTTCACATCCAGAGAAAACCCTTTCTTATTACAAAGACATTCTACTCCATCATCATTCAATTTTGATCAAACCAATCCAGGATCGAACATATGCTTATAAGATCCTATATCATTCAATTTATATTCACAACATTGTTTCCATGACTGAATGGGGTAATCCTAACCAGCTTCGTGATTTACCTGGTTATCCCATTCAATATAATTATCATGATTATGTTGATGCTTGGTTCAAGATTTTCTTGTACCAAAATGAAACTTTCAGTCATTCTTGGTTCATCTCATTTGATCAAAAATTCAAATCTGAAATACCTACCTGGTTTCTAAGATGGTGGACTCACTATGGCGCCATTTCAGATATCCTCCCTGATGATCTCTGTGAAATAGTTAATTATTTTGCCTCTGTTTATCCATTTACTGCTCATCAACGTCAATTTCCATTATTGCTAATCTTCATATCTAAATACAAAATTCCATGGATATTTAAATGGCAATATGGGATTGATGATAACATCATCATTCGCCAACACACAGTCAAATGGTGGGTAAAGTTCAATGTGCCCAGAATTCTTGAAATTGTTCAAGAAGAATTCCCATCTGATCAGCATGCTCCAACTCCTGCTCTTGCTAAAGCCCAGCAGAACCCAACTGCTGTAATTACTCAAGGAAGTCAACCCAGTCTTTCTCCAGTCAACCTTGGAAGCCCCTCATCCAGTGGCTCCAAGCCCAAATCATCCAAATCAAAGTCAAAAGCTGTTGCTGCCCAACCAGCCCAATCAAAGCCCAAATCAAAGTCCAAGGTAAAAGAGAAGCCCATTTCACCTCCTGCTCAGCCCAAAGTCAAGTCCAAGAATAAATCCAAGTCATCCAAAGTAGATATGATCCAGTTAGCTCACCATCTATTGAATCAAGCTAAAATCCAATCCACCGATTCCGACAGTTCCGAAGAAGGATCAGAACATGCTCACTCCTCTGAAGAATCAACTAATCAATGTTCAGGGCCCGAGTTTTAAGATGCTCAGGATCCGTTTGCATAATCAACATTGGATTCCATATAGATATAAATTAGCTTCAGTCAATACTCTTTTGAGAAAAGCTGCCAATTTGTATTTATATTGATTCCATTATTCACATGTTCCACCGAAAGTGATGAATAGTAAAAGTTACTGTTCACTTTTACTGTTCACTGTCACTATTCACCCAGTTAACTTTTGTTTAAAGCTGTTCGACTATTCAATCAATCAACCGAAAGCAACCGACAGCATCTACTTTACTCCATGTGCTGCTAGCTGCTTTCATCAGTCAAATACTGCTTTTCTTTTCTTTGTTTTGTATATATTGTAATCAAGTTGAATTCATTCGGCAGACTTGGAAATTCTTAGAAACATATATTCTGACAAATCCAAGAGCTCTGGGTGAAAACCAACACCTTGTGTTGTAACCTACTGCTATTATAATTGTAAGGCCAAATTTGGCATGTCTTGAAAAAGACAAAAAGTCAAAAAGTTACTATTCTATTTAAGTTACACCATCTTATTTAAGTCACATCACCTCTCTAACACATCATTTCAAACCCAATCCAAACCCAACCCATATTTCATAAAAAGTCAAAAAGTGCACTTATTTAGATCATCTCAAACAACCCCTAAGTTGAATGTTTTGAATTTAAATGTTTTTAATGATTAATAATATATATTGTGTTCAAATTTATATGTTTTGGTTTCGTAATTCATCTCTTTCATTCGCTATCTAAAAAGTAAAAAACTTATAAAAAAAATCTTTTAAAAATTCATTAAATACCAAAAATACAAAAAAATACAAAAATTCAATACATTTTTTATATTTTTATGTATTTATTATTTTTTAAAAATATTTTTTTACAAATTTTTTACTTTTTAATTTTTTATATTTTTATGTATTTATTAATTTTTAAAAATATTTTTTCACAAATTTTTTACTTTTTAAATACATCTAAATAAATAAAAAAATATTTAAAATATAAAAAAATATTCACTAAAAACAAAAAAAAAATACGAAAATATAAAAAATACACTGATTTAAATACATCTAAATAAAACATATCTAAAAAAATAAAAAAAATACAGAAAATTCAAACCAAACAGGCTGATTTATTTTCATTGAGAGTAATTTCTCTCTGTCAGTCTCAGTCTGTCGTTAGGGTTTATCCGAGGGTTTCGACTCGAGACAGTGGTGCGATTCAAACATGGCGAAGCCAGGCCGAGGTCGTCCAGCAACTCCATCGGGGTCCGGATCAGGTTCGTCTCCGTCTCGCTCTCGGTCCCGCTCCTCCACCGGTTCGGACTCTCGGTCCAGCTCGCGCTCCCGATCTCGTTCCCGCTCCAGTTCTTCTTCTCCCTCTCGCACCGCCAGTTCTCGCAGCCGAAGCCCCCCTCCCCAGAGAAAAAGGTTCCTCTCTCTCTCTCTCTCATTTTCATAATTGTAAATATCTATTTGTGGTTTTTTCGTGGGTAAGAAAATGCAAGGAAACAATGTTCTAGGTTTTGGAAAGATTGTGAGTAAGTTTTGCGCCTGTAAGTACAACTAATTTGAAATTGAGTTTTTTTTTTTTTTTTTTTTGTGAATCTTTCTAATATTTTAAGAAAAAATTTTAACTTTTTAGATAAGACAAGTGACAGAGAAATAGTTGGTGGGTAGAGCCCTATGGAGGTTAAAGTTAGTGGATTGTTTTTTAGCCATCTTATTGGTGCACTCATGTATATATATATGTACATATATATATTTCACATTTCAAATGAAGATGCTCGTAAAGGGATTAGCTTACCAGGGATCTCTTTACAGAAATACAAGTTTGCTAGCCTTCATGAATTTCCATTCCCTTGTACAAATATTTTGATAAGCCTTTATGTTGGATTTGTTTCATTGGAATGAGATAGAATGGAATAGTGATTCATTAGCATTTCCTATGGAATGACCATTTACTTAAAATGATGAAAGATAATTCCATTTGTAATGTATTTGTTATTTTTTTAGTCTAACCAAACACGAGAATGAATATATTTCAGTTCATTCCAATGAACCAAACACTACCTTAGTGGTTATCTTCATAGAGTTGTTGGGGGATTTTAAAACTGAAACAAAGTGGTGGTAAAAATTTGTTTCTTCTTTCTGTGGTGGGAGTGGGGGGTAATGTGAAGGTGAGCTCCACCAGTTTGAGTCGAGTACTCTAGAATGCAACCACATGCAAACCAAGTCAATTGGGGTAGCATGGGTGTTAGGGTTGCGGAAAGGTGTAAAACATGGGACGATTGATTCTTTGACATCACCTCAACCAACTTGACTACCCATCGCCATTCCTAATTGTTATTTGTGATGTATGGCATTGCTCATAGCCTTTCTTTACACCTGTATTTTATCGTCTAGGTAATGAGATGTATACTAGAACGATTTGGGTATGTTTACCTTAATTTGTTTTACTTATGCTATCCTCCTTTCTATTGGGGAAGCAATAGTTTTTGTTTGCTTGTGCTGTTTGCCCCCCTACCTTAATTTTAGCTGAGGTTGCTGATATAATTTTAAAGCATTTTGATATCAAATTTGTTTGTCTAAGTGAGAGAGGTGCACACACAATCAGCGAGGTCGCTCCCCACCACTACAATCTAAGAAAACTTCTCCACCCCCAAGGTAATGTTATTTTTAAAATCAGTTAGTTGGTCACAAATTAAACTTTGGAAAATGTTTAGTAGTTTTGATTTTTATTCTCATAATTCTAGTTGCATGTTGATTTAATGACTTGTAACTATTTTATTTTTTTCCGATAATAAATTTTGGGATAATGTGAATCTGCAGTTCTTTCATTTTGTGTGGCACAGTTGACCATGCACAAAGTTGAGGGGAACAAAAAATGCAGTTTGTCCCATTTGAATAACTTTGTTGGGAATCGGGCTTGTACTCTAGTATAAATTTGAAGAGTGGTAATATAGGAAAGTGATGATTAAATTTTGACACATAATGTAACTGCCAACATTAGAAAGTAAGACATAAAATACAATAGAGGCAGCAGTGGAAGAGAATGTTGAGGTATATGTGGTATGAAGTCCATATCCAATTATTGAGCAAATTTATCTACCAATATATCCTCGTATGATAATGCATTAGTTCTTGAAACAGAGGGATTTATTTGCATTGAATGAGCATGAACTACAATTTATTGAAACTTTTTGTTTTAAGAAATTTTATTCGAAGTTTGAGTAACTGAGTAAGATTTCCTTTATCCTCAACTTTCTAAGATTTGGTTAAATTGAACCCTGTGGGGTTTAGTTTGTGAGTTGTGATAAATGTCTATTGTGAGTATGGGGTATAGACTATAGTATGCAAGTGGTCTACTTATTGTTTGGATGCTTCAATGTGTATAGATTGTGCATTTGCTAGGAATTAGTATGCACATTATGAATAGGTGAGCTCTATAGGATACTCATTATGAGTGGAGGAGATTGCTCTTGGAATAATTTGATGTGGCGTTTGTTCTTGCAATGTTTCTCCTGCAGTTACTTCCTGTGCTACTTTTATTATGTCCCTAAAATGTTTTATAATATATGCTATCAGTTCTTTCCCTCATGAACTTGTGTGAGTTTTTTCGGGTATGTAACTTACATTATTATTTGACCTATTGTTTCAGGAAAACGTCTCCATTCCCGAGTCTCGTGTTCTTCATGTGACCAGCTTAGCAGGAATGTGAATGAAGCCCATTTAAAAGAAATATTCAGTATGACTTTTACTCTTTTTTTCCCTTCCTTGATTTATGAGCCTGCATGTTATGGTGTCTATATTATGATCTTATTAGTGGTAATTTTGTTTCTTGAAATCTCACTATCAACAAACCCTGTAGGTTATGTTTGATTCATGGATTGTTAGGCAATAGGTAGGATAAGACATCATTGGATTAATTGTCCTTGGACTTACAATCCTTTTTTATTGTGTGTTTTTGTTTGAATCATCACTTAGATAACTAGGCCAACAATCTAAACCTGTGTTTGGGGACCGTGGTATATGAAGGAATAAATGCATAAAATTGCAAATAGTCCCCTTCTTGTTTATGTTCGCCTACCATATATATGTGTATGTAACTGACTAGAGATTGCATTGATTGCAATTTCCCAAGAGGCAAAACCTGGAAAATCTCGATCAGTGATGGATGGGATGATCTCAATTGATTGCAGCAGCCTAAGGGCGAATGGTGGTGTTGATTAGTGGTTTTAATCAGTTGAAGAGGAGGGGAGGGGATTAGAGAAGAGAAGAGAGATGGAAGAGGAGGGGAAGTCAAAAGAGGAGGTGATGGTGGAGGGGATGAAGAAGAATAGAGGAGGAAGAAAGATGGTAGATGATCGTAGGGGTTGGGTTGGAGGTGACAAAATAGGGGGAAAAAGAGGAAGAAAGAGAAAGAAAGGTGGAATAGTGATTGTTGGTAACAGTAGAGGCCAGAGGAGAGGGAAGGAGAAAGAGGTGATGAAATAGGGGGAAAAGAGGAAGAAAGAGGGGGAAAAAAAAAAAAAAAGCCGAAAGAGTGACGGTTGGCAACGGTAGAGGTCAGAGGAGAGGGAGGGAGAAAGAGAGAAAATGTATTTGGCGATGTAATCTACTTTTTCTTGGTGATGTCTAGAAATTAGAGTGTTTAAACTATCAATTTTACTCTGTTAGTTGCAATTGTTAGATTGCCAATAGAATGCGGATATAGATGTTGTCGAGGTTAAACTTCTCATGTTCAACAAGTGAGTACCTGGAGTTGTGGTGTGGCATGGTAAATAAGTTCATATCTGTGTGCCTGGTCATGCACCAGGATTTGACGTAATAATTCTCGGATTTAGGCTTTAGATGGTGTCGTTTTGTATTTATTTTGCTTCTTCTTTTGCTGCAGGTAATTTTGGAGAAGTTGTTAATGTACGGCTGGTAATGGATCATGCCGTAAGTCAGTCAACTGCATCTCCGATATGGTGTACAAATAAGATTTCTTTTGGTACTAATGACTTGGAATTGTTGCATGTTTGCAGGTTAACCTTTCAAGAGGATTTGGATATGTTGAGTTCAAGATAAGAACTGATGCTGAAAAAGCCCTAGCATACATGGATGGTGTATGGTTTGATTAAGATGTGGAATTATTATAATTTGCTGTAATGGAAGCATATCATATCTGGTAAATTTATTTTCTCAACTGTCTTAATGCAGGGCCAAATTGATGGGAATGTTGTTCGAGCAAAGTTCACGCTACCTGAACGGAAGAAGGTTTCACCACCACCTAAGGTGGTTCCCACTGTATCAAAGAGAGATGCTCCAAAAATTGATAACGTTGGTGCTGATGTTGAAAAGGATGGACCAAAGCGGCAGAGAGAACGTATGTTCCTTGTGGTAGTTATTTGTTAGATATATATCATTGTGTTTCTACTAATATATTTTTAATTTTATAATGTCAGCTTCTCCCCGTCGCAAGCCTCACTCTCCCTTGCGAAGAAGATCACCCATAGCTCGAAGAGGTGGATCTCCGAGACGAGAGCCAGACTCTCCTCTGCGTCGACGCGTGGACTCTCCTGTTCGTCGTCGAGGAGAATCTCCTTACCACCGTGGTGAAACACCTCCCAGGAGGAGGCCTGCATCTCCAGGCAGAGGTCGTTCACCTTCCTCCCCACCAAGGAGGAATAGATCACCAGCAAGGTTAGCTAACCATTACATTACCTTGTGTTTATGGCATTGTTGGTTTTGGTAGCAATTGACTGAATAACTTTTTAATAGGGCCTCTCCCCGGAGGATTCGTGGCAGTCCTATTCGCAGACGCTCTCCTATTCCACCAAGGCGCCGGTAAATTTGACTATTGTTGGTTGAATAATTATCATTGCTCTTGTTGTTGCTTTGTGGGAGGGTTGCTCGGGGGTGGGGGTGTTGTGAAACGAAATCTAAAATTGTTGAAGCCCTGGGAAAGTTAAGGAATGCATAGATGACATGATAACCTAGGAAGCAACATAAGCAAGAACAAGACCTAATGTACTTATGATAACATCTTGTGAGCAGTCACATCTTCATCCATCAAGCTTGATAATGCTAATTTAAGAGCCTCCAAAGATTGAAGTGGGAATGATTCCATATGGACTGATTTCCTGTTTTTTGATGATGCATCCATATATATAAATTTGCCCAAAATGGAATTGTGTCATTTTCCCTATATATTGATGTTGTAGTTTTTAATTTTGATGCTTATCATGTATTCATTGTGTTACAACCAATTATACCCATTGCAGCATACCTGAATGGTGTGTCACCCAGGGGTTGTTTGGCAACATAGCTTTTTGGCTTACAAAAAAAAGTCAAAAAGTCACTACAAAGCCAAAAAATCACTAAAAATGCAAACCATACACACCAGTCCCATTCACATTATTTGATTCAACTAAAAAAAAGTCATCCCCAAACAAAATTTTTTCACCTCATGAAAAAGCCAATTCCCAAGTGAGGCTCAGTGTTGTAACTAAATAAAAATTTATTTCACATTGTACATGCATATTCTTTAGTTGGTTCTTTTGATTAGAGTTTCTTTGCATGCAGTTCCCCCCCTCCTAGACGAGCTCGAAGTCCGCCCAGAAGGTCTCCTGTTAATCGTAGACGCAGCCGCTCTCCTATTCGAAGGCCTGTGCGTTCACGTTCAAGATCAATCTCTCCACGGAGGTAACAAAAGAATATGCAAATATAATGTTGTGACATATGTTTTTGCATGCCTGTTGTATCCTTATTTGGAACATGTTCTCTTTCTTTGTCATATTGCTTTGTTTCCTTTGTGATTATTTCTATGGATTTTATTTATGCAAGTCAAATGGCAATGTGTATCACATTTATTTTTGCAATGAGAACTTTATGGGCAACCCACCTACGATGAAAATGGCCTTTATGCTAGAAATTAAGCTTTGGATCTTTCAATGGAATTTATTGAATATTATTTGCATGTATGTGGCCAAAAAGATTGTGGTTTAATCTGCTGAGAATTAATACCCTGTCCCATGTTTGGTGGATGCCTGTCTCCAAATGTGCGTATTGGCATAAGTTTTGTTATATAAAGTTGGGAGCTAGTCCTACATGGGATGTAATTAGAGGATTTTTTCAGATTCTGGATGGTTATTGTTTCCTTTATTGGATTAAAAAACTAAGAGTTTATGCTTTCTTTTAAACTCTTACTTTTTAACTGGCATAACAATTGTATAGTTTTATTTATCCACAAATATTTTTTTTTTGTGTGTGTGTGTGTGTGTCTATTTAGAACTTAGAAGCCTGTACCTGGAGCTTTTTTTTTTTTTTAACTGAGAAGGCTATATTCTTCTTGTAGAGAGGTGGCTATTAATTATTCTCTTCTATCTCTTACTTTATCATTTTTCGGTTATTCTTTTCATACTGCTCTCTAAAACACCTGATATCTTTGAAAGAATAATGCCCCCACCCCTAAACCCCCTGAAAACCACAAAAAAACACACCAAGGGAATGATTCTGGAATGCAAGATCTGCCTCTCATTGTGACCTCTATTATTTGCTGCATTTGTATACAACAGAGGTCGAGCACCAGTTCCAAGGCGTGGGAGGTCGTCATCTTACTCAGATTCCCCTAGTCCACGCAAGGTCTGTATCCATTAGTTGTCTTAAAATGAAATCATCTGAATGAGCATATCTCATTTAGCTTCATCTATTCTAATTTGGCAGGTAGGGCGAAGGGTATCGAGGAGCCGTAGTCCTCGAAGGTATTCTTTCATATCCGCGGATGGTTCCTTTATTTTTTATTTTTATAAAATAAAATCAATAAATTCATACAAAAACATATTTATTAAATGAAAATAAACATTATTATTTATATTAAATTATGAATATGATAAGGAAAAAAATACATTAAAAAAGTTGTTTTATGAATTCATATCAAGTGCAATTCATGGTAATATGCCTTTAGGTATCCTTCTAAAGCTACAATATACTGAAAGTAATGTGATAATGATTCAATGAACAAACTCTTAGCCATAATTAAAACAAAAATCCAAAATCTTAGGAGTTGTTGACATCATGAGATATGAATAAAAATGTATGATTGCTGAAAAGAAATAGAGAGGAATTTCTACTAAGAAAGTTTTTTTGGTTGAAAATAACCGTATGTGAGAGCTCTAGGCTATAGCCATTGCAAATTTATCAAAATCCTTCGTCCTTCTGTTCTATTTATTGAGGAGCATTGCTTTAAGAGTTTGCTACAATAACGTGGATATAGTCATAAAATAATCACCCACAACTTTGCCCCTTAAAATATAAAGATATGAAATTCCGTATGTCACAAGAAGTGAGTTAAAAAAATACATTCCAAAACTTTCCTTAAAAATTATATACACAAAGCATGAATGATAAAAAAAACTTCATACGTTGGACTTAGACTTGTGCTAGGATCACAAGCCAAGCATACCAGATAGTGTTAATTATGTTAGCTGAGGTATTTTTTGCACACATATATCCCTTTCGCCCTAGTCAGAGATCATCTTTTTATTGTTATTTATGTTATGTTTGCTGTCGGCTTTTTCCTGAGCATGATTTTCTGATGAATGGTGGGTTTCCTGTGTTAGGCCGTTGAGAGGTAGAAGCACTAGCAACAGCAGCAGCAGCAGTTCGCCACCACCACCTCGTAAGCCATGAGTCACGTGAAAGAAGATGGTAATTGTTCAATGAGATGTCATTGTTGGTTTGAACTATTTCATATCGTATTGTAACTATGACCGTTTGCCGAGAGAATGATGATGTAGGGTTTGTTTTCAGTTGCCTGATATGGGGGACTGTACCCTGTTTGCCAGTAATTACATTTCTTGTTATTTGCTGAGAAACTTATTTTAAGTTGGACGTGTACATCAAATATCTTATGACTGGACTCCCTCTATTACTTCGGATGATTGTTTTGGATTCTCTGAATCAAGCAAAGAATCGTGCCCATGCTGTTTGGTTGTGATGTATCCTGGTGTGATAATACTCGTATGGCATGTTTGATTGGGTGGATAAGAATATGGGATTGAGATTATTAATCTGTGGGTCCAATTATCCTATGTTTGTTTTAATATTTTGGTTTAGGATTATTAATCCAATGGATTATTAATCCAACAAATTTGTAGGATTATTAGTAATGGGATAGGAGTGGAATTATTAATCTAATGGATATTAATCCAATTGGATAATGAATACCACACTAATTTAATAGGATTATTAATACTTCACTAGTAGTCTTGTGAATCAAACATGACCGTAAAGTTTTAGACTGTGTTTGGAAAGATGTTCCAAATACATGTGTGGTGTTTGTTTCGAGCTTTTATATAATAATTCCACACTTATTTTTTAAAATTCATTTTTAGGTGGGAAAATTTGGTTGACTCGGTCGTCTTCCCAGATGTTTTTCAGAAGTTTGGCTGGTTGATCGGAACAATGTTCGGTTTTTTTTTTTGGGCATCTGTTATTTTTATATTATAAATAAAAAATATTTTTGAATTTTTTAAAATTTTTTATGAGTTTTGAATAGAATTTTGGATTGTGTGTTTGGTTATGAGTTGTAAGTTTTTGAATCAAATAACTTTTCTAATTTTAAAAACTCAAAACTCTCTTTAAAATTCTTTTCAAAACTCATAACTAAACAAAATTTTCACACTCAAATTATAATTTCAAAATTTACAAATTTAAAATATAAATTTATTCTCAAATCATATTTAAAAACTCTATCAAACACTACTTTAGGTTTTGGATTTTCTTCTTGAGCTTGAGTTGATTTCATCTCTGGGTGATGGTGTGCATCTGTGTTGCATTTTGTGAAAATTATCTGTACATTTACCCGATTGTATGTTGTTCTAACTTCTTTCAATGGAATTAATCTACCCCTTTGTGACACATGTCATGACTGTCTTCTTCTTCTTCTTTTTTTTTTTTTTTGTTTTGTTTTAATAGTCATAGTGAATTTGTATATGATCCTAATTAGTGATCAATTTATTTTAATATTTTGAGTTCTTATTTGCTTTTTTTCTTTTAAAATTGTAGTGGTAGTCTGGTAGATCTATTAGGAAGCAGGAGTTAATGTCATTTTTTTAAAAAATAAATAAATAATATTTTTAAAATTATATTTATCATCTATTAATTTAAAAATAATTATAATAAAAATATACACCAATAATTATTATATCAATATAATTTTTTAATGAAGAATTTACACTTAGTAAATAAACAAATTAAATAATCTAAAATGAACCCTTGTTGAGCCCATATTACCTGGATTTCCAAATCCAATTGTGGTGTGAGAATCTAAAAGAAATAATTATATCGTTTTATCGCGTTTTGATGTGTAAGACAGCAAAATAAGGATATGGGTTGAATTTCTTCTTTCTTTATAGGGCAAATTACACAAGTATTCCCTATAGTTTGGAGCTTATATTTTTTTGGTTCTTAATTTTTTAATTGCGACACATTTGATCCTGAATTTTGAATCTTGTTCCAAATAAGGACAATTGAATATATAATTAGATTTTTCATGGGTAAAATTATCAATTTGATAAAATATAAACTAATTTGACAAAAATAAATATCAAATAAATATTTTTAAATTTTAAAAAATTATTTCTACCAACTAAAAATAAAATTATGTAAAATTGATAAATCTTTTAGACATTTATTTATTTTGTTTTACCAAATTAATTTTTATTATGTGTTTGGATGATGACATGTAAAATTAATTTTAAAAAATTAATCATGTAATTTTTATTAATTTTACATAATTTTATATTGGTGGATAAAAATAATTTTAAAAAAATTAAAAATATTTTTTTGACATTTATTTTTGTCAAATTAGTTTATGTTTTATCAAATTGACGATTTTACCCTTGAAAAATCTAATAATATTTTCAATTGTCCTTATTTGGAACAAGATTCAAAATTTAAGGTCAAATGTGTTACAATTGAAAAGTCAGGGACCAAAGTGACACAAGTCTCAAACTATAGGGACTATTAGTACAATTAACCCTTCTTTATAATTTAATGGATAATATCGGTGTTATGAAAATTATATAATTAATTAGGTTTCTTATCAAAGCTCATTACTTTTAATTAAGAAATAAAACTTATAAAATAAAATAATTTTATTTTCATTATTTTCACCTAATTTCTAAACTCTTGTTTCCACTTTTCAAAAACACTTATCAGAAAATTCTACTTTCTTATTTTTCGTATTTTTTTGTTTTTACTGATTTTTTTTAATATTTTAAGTAATTTTTTTACTTTTTAAACACACCTAACATAAATACACCTAAAAAGTAAAAAAATTGTAAAAAAAATCTTTTAAAATTCACTAAATACCAAAAATATAAAAAAAATACAAGAATTCAGCACATTTTTTTAAATATTTTTATGTATTTATTAATTTTTTAAAATATTTTTTCACAATTTTTTTACTTTTTAGATACATTTAAGTAAGATGCATCTAAAAAAATAAAAAAAAAATTTAAAATTTAAAAAATATTCACTAAAAACAAAAAAATACGAAAATTAAAAAAGTCAATTTTCAAAAAACTTAATTCAGAAAACTCAAACCAAACATAAAATATTATTTTCTTTTTATTTCTAACCAACTTAAATATTTGCACAAGTAACGTAAAGTAAAACAAAACACGCTGGCTTAGGCCCAGTCTTCATTCTGCCTCCCTCCCTCCCCCAATCTTCGTCACTGGAAGCTAAGTCTTCCTCCTCTACACCCTTATCCAATGGGGTCTGGGCAATTGTTGCTTGACTTTCATGCTCTTTTCAGATACAACTAGTCCTACAATTCGGACTCTCGTAGTTCTGAATCTGATTTCACAAGTGTAATGTGAAATAGATAAACACAAAGAGTCAAAATCTGACAAATCTTTTGAAAAATTGATTTTGAATCAAAATGCAAAAAATAGACTGCTTTTCTAGATACAAAGCCGTCACCTAAATATTTTTGAAAAATTTAGGAAACCCGAGACTCGTTCCAAAGGCCACTTATCCATCATTACCAAAGTGTCTAAACTCGGAAACTTAGGTACGAGAGGAGATGATCATGAATTGAGCACCCCACTAGCCTGATCAAAGATTGGCATCTACTAAACATAATGTGATTCTTATTTACATTATATGCTCTTGTTCATTGTTACTATGTGACGTGCACAAGTATAGACTAATTTGCAAAAATTGGAATATTTTGATTTCATATATGTTTTTGAAAATTGTTTCGAATATGTACCACTTGAAGAAGTAATCTCATATGTACATTACTCAAATTATCCCAATTTAAGCAATTAGCCTTCAATCATAGGCATTCAAACAATTTTATTACTTAAGCATTTAGCCTCATGACAAGCATGCTAGACATGACAACAATTACACTCATACAAAATGATAAAGCAATAAATGCTCACCTCGTATTCCAAGGCAAACCGAAAGAAACAAAAGAATTAGAAAATATGCACGATCCTAACGATACAACTTGACTAACGAAACATATGCAATATGCGATTTAAGTAGACTTGGCTACTAACATGGCACGTGAATCAATTTGATAGCATACGATTTTAAAACAAGTATTCAACGAAGTAATAAACAACAATGCTTATTAGAATGATGAGCCAAGTCTAATGCATGCAAGACAATGGATGCAAATCTTGAGAAATGCTAAGTAAATATGATGCTCTATACTATCCAACATAAGCGGGTAAATAAAAGGGAGAAATACGTGAGGTTAGAAGATATATACATGATTACAAGTTTGCCTTTGTGCAGGAGGATCCGAATAAATGTCCTAGCTAATTATTACAAATTAACTAATCTATTACAACCCAAAATAAATTAACTATGCTAGCTAATCATTACAACACCGCAAATTAACTAACTACTTTAGCTAATTAATTAAGTATAACATAAAACTAACTAGCTATTCAAACTAATTAGTTACAAGTCTGCTACTTTAAGTACAACATACTACTATTACAACATTATTTCAACGGATCCCGAGAATCGAGGGATAGTTCATGCATGGATGTGGATTTCCACCCGAAAATGCTCTCCGTTTTGCTATCGGAATGTTTCTGTTACATAGTCAGGAGGCTGCACTGATTTTTCACCTCAGTTTCTGCTTTGTTCTGTAGGAAATAGTACACTGCCTTGTTGGAAAAAGTGGCTGGCAGGTCAGAAGTAGTGGCCGGCCGGCCACTAATAGTGGCATGCCGCCCAGTAAAGATAGCCTGCCGGCTACTAATGTTGGATTTCTCCTGCTGTAATAGAAAATAAATAGAGCACAAACAAAGCATTCTCATTGCACCATGCCTTTCATTATCATTAAACAGCTCAAAGGAAGGGTAGACTTGATTCGCAAGCTATCAATTGACGCAATTTCATTGCGTGATGACTTATGAACCAAGGGATACGATTTCAATAAATGGTAAGGAAAGACCAACAAAACCTCCTCCCTATCATGGAAGGGAAGGGGTTGACATTGACTCTTGAACCGTTTTCATCATTAATAAGTATGAAACGACTCAAGACTCAATAGGTTCAATTGACGTTCGATTGAACCTGAACTATTTTATTATCTTGCTTCATTTTAATCCAATTTTATTACTCCATTTTAATTACATTCCATTCATTAGTCAATTAAGTCTAATAATGAGCTTTAAGTCCACTATTAGAGAGAAGTGTCAAACCAAATGTTGTTTTAGGCATGAGAGGGAGATCATGCCGTTGGTAATGAGCCTCCAAAGGGATTAAACCATTAAGCACAATATCACCCTTCAAGCTTAAACAACACTCCTTTTGGAGCAACTCTCAAAACAAAGAGAAAAGGCCTAGAAAGGAGGGAGATTGCAGAGATGCTTAGAGGTGAACACAAGTATGGAAAGTAAGAAATAAATGCTATCAACTCAAATAGGTTGGTGGCTAAGGCCTAAACCACCAAGCCTATGAGGCC